CTTAAATGTACACTTTATTGGTATTTTGCTCTACTGTCAGCATTAAACTGTGTTGTTGTTACATCAGCTGTTTAGGCAGAAATACATTTTTGGGTAGTCCTGTGAAAAAGTGGGTTGGCCATTTTGGGAGATACAATTTCCAAACGTGCTAGTGTCCGACAAGGTCATTACATCAGACTACAGCCTCTTGCTAACAGCAGTGCAGTCATCATCCTGACTATTTGAATGTTTTTTCTCTATAGTGATTCAAAACAATAGCAAAACTGTGGACACATCAACCAGAAGCCTAGATTCACATAAGCACAACAAACACTACACTGACCAACAGCTCCCTTCATTATAAAGCAGGCGTCCGCTCACCACAAGCAATACCTCTGCAAGGGAAGATGACAGATCTCAGACAGCTGAGATGTACAAAGATGAAGAAAAACAACAGAGCTAACTTAAAAACCTAAACCAAAATATCCTAGGATGTTTATGCGTTGAAATAGGTGTAGTTTTGACATTTTAACCCAGTCCATTTTAACATCAGTAGTTACTGTTCAGCTCTGAACTTCTACATTGTCTTTTTGGAATAAGAAAGTTTAAATGAAATAATTCACTGCAAACTCACACGAGGAGTGAATATATTTTAGGGAGTGACTGAAGATCATTGGTTTAAGATGTCAGCTAATGTTTTGATTTAGAGTAGACCCTGTATCAGCAGTCTACTGAGTGTATGCAGATCCTGTCATGGTGGAAAAGATTTTTGAACTGGTAAACTAATTACATTCATGTAATTCATATGAAATATTTTTCAGGGGGTGTTAATGGGGGTGCTGAACGATTTGCACCCCTCTAACATCATAATAATAACAGTAGCAGGACTCGAGGAATATGTTTGAGGATTCAAAATTGATGAAACAAACATCAGTAACCTTTGCTACGTGGATTCCACTCTTAATGGAATCAGGAAATCAGGAAAGTCAAAAAACAGAGTGAAAAGATGGACAGCGTTTGGTTACCTGGATCTATTATGAACTGGACTGTGGAAACGCACCGTCAAGTCAACCTTTCAGATTGTTTATGGAAATAATGTACATTGTGTTCTCCAGACCAAACGAAGAAAAAGACATTTCAGACTGTTACAAGCATAAAGTTCAAAAACCAGAGTCTGTCATGGTTTGGGGCCGGTATTAGTGGGTAACTTGCTGTGAAGGCAACATTCTGCACATGTTAAAACAGCATAGCTGCGTAATCAGAGAGTGTGCGTTCTAGACTGGCCTGTATATCTACTGTTAACACTATGTGTGGTGCATTATGAAGTGCAAAATATGACAACAAAGGCCTCATACATTGCAGAGTTGAAGAGACTTGTATAAAAGAAGGAAAAAATCTGCTTTTAAAACAGGATCAGTTTGTTCTTCAGTCCCCAAATGATAACAGGTAACACAGTGGTAAACATGCTCCTCACAACCATCTCCACAGCCATTATACAAGAGACAGCTCCACAAAATTTATTCTAATTCCAGTGCTGGAGCGATTCTGCCCCTTGTCAACACTTGTCATTGAACAGGGTGACCTTAAGTTCATGTGCAGCTGCTCTAGAGCATCTCATTCCATTGGTCAGTAGTTTTCTATGGATATAATACAGATTGTGTGTGTGCAATTGAATGCCTGTGGAAGTAATTAGTGCACTTTAGAGAAGCTGAATTCACTCATTAGATTTTTTTTTCTCTGAGAAGCCTAAGAACCAGGGAATACTGTAACTGTAAGAACATAAAGTGTCAAAATGACATTCACAATATTATTATTATTTTTTTAACCAACTAGTCGCTATTCAGTTGTTATTATATATATATATATATATATATATTATATATATATATATATATATATATATATGTGGCCCTTTTCATGTGGATTAGCTGAAGAGGCAAACAAGGTGCCTCACATCAATCTGGAAGAACCTTGCAAAAAATGACCATATTTACACCAGATATTTCATGCTTTTACAAATGAGTCAAGAAGTTAGGAACATCCAAAGTTTTATACACTTCTATAACCTAAGAGTAGCTCAACCAGTTTGCACTGAAATCCCTGTAGTCACTGAATAATAAGCCTTAGTATGTAATAAGCCTGATATTTTATAGGGTTAATATCTCTACAAATCTGATTCCCAACCATATTTTCTCTAAATGAATTCACCACAGATGGCTAATTTTATTATTTTACGTAACATGGGAAACATGGATAAAATCCAAAGTTTGTGCTTAAACTATAGCATTTCATTGACTTTGTCTCAAAACCTGAAGTTTGCACAACCAATAGATTTCAAGTTAAAGGCAAGACGAGATAAGGTTAAAATTCTTTGGGCCTGCCAGTCGGACCTGGCCATTTAAGAGATTAAACCATCCCAGATAATGATGTTGTTTTTTTTTTTCATTTGCAAATATTAAAGTTTTCAATGGAGCGTTAAAATGGTAAAAATGTTAGACTTTTATTTTAGGTCATAAGCAACAAATAAAAAAGAATGAGCAAAATCTGAGACATACAGCAATTCAGTATGGACTGGCAAGGAATTACTTACCTTATTAATTTAGCTTTAATTACATTTTATTGCATTTAAAACTTTTATAATTTTATAATTTTATATTTTTTGTTTAAAAATGACATGATATGGGATGGACAGTAAAATGAATCTGCCCCTGACAAACAGTATTTATAGTAAAAAAAAACAAAAAACAATCATAATACATAGATCAAAGCATGTATCTCTTCTTCACAAAGGCTTTGATCAAAATTGGCAATATCTAAACATTTCTTTGAATAATTTTTACCGCTCAAATATCTTTACCCTACTCCTAAACTTCTGCTGTTTCATTAGAAAGGATTATACAGCAAGACACATAAAGATCTGTTTTATTATGTGAAACAAACCCATTACTTTTTAAAACTCTACACTACAACAGGTGAGTATCTACCTCTGTTACCCCCTATTTCCATTTTCCCATTTCTCTCCATTTCTTACAGCTAAACAGCTATTCATCTGGGCAGTGTATATTCTCATTCTAAATAAATAGCTTTCATTCAGTGATCCCACTAGGTGGCACTCCAAAAACAGATAAGCATTATGAGTAGCTTGGGTTTATTAGAAGCAAGTTGGATTTTTTTTCAACTGGCTTTTGTACACCTGGCTTAGTCATGTCAGCTCTGTAATAACATACCATAGCTTAAAGTGTTTTACCATAAATGCATTCCAATAGAAACAGAAAGAAAAGAGAAAGAAGAGCAGTGTTCTTTCAGATTCCTGAACAAAGAAAGGGCAACACAGAAGAACAGATACTACTGCACTTATTTAACACAGGAGTGTAAATTCACACAGCTTTATACGTTTATTTAAGTCACAGCTATTTGAACAGCTGTATACATGCAGTATAGCATTTTCTGATGGAGTTTGGGAAATTGTGGAATGCTTAGAAGATCTGATCAGTAAATGTGAGAGTCACTAGTTAAGAAATCTTTTCACATCGTGTTCAGAAGTACTGGTGATCATAAACTGTACAGTCTCACTATAATAATGTTGAACAGTGAGTATTTAACATGTCCACACTGGCTGTAAATCATGTGACTTTGTTACCATACCAGTCTGACAGCAGCAGACAGTCGCAGATGGCAGATGAATTACATATCACTATCTGAGCAAAACCTCCAAATGGTTTCTCTAAAAAGGTAATTTTACAGGAGATTAGAAGGATTTATTGGTAGATTGTTTTTATATGAAATTCACTACTATCATACCCCTGAAAGTGATGTACCTGCCTGAGTGTTTGGATGCTGTAGTGACTACGGTGAGAGGCAGAGAGATTTGATCCACAGTGTCCGAGACCTATGAAGGGTAAGACTTGGACGGATGCCTTGATGCCACTGTACCACAGTCCCCTTGCAGTAGGCTTCTCTGTGACCATCTATTTTGATAATTCCACATTTTTTTCTAAATCATTCATAAATAACTGGTTGAGAGTGGTTTGGTGTGAAACGCTCTGTTCTAGAGAAACTTACAGAGTCAGAACTGTTTACAGTGGTGGTGATAGGAACCAGACATCCACCTCCCAAAGCTCCCTCACAGAAAATTATTACGTGAAATGGTTAGAAAATGTGCTGTCTGATGTTGGAGGGATACATGCAGGGCATTGTGAGGCAAAGTAGTCCCCAAGGATTTTTTTTTATCTTACCATCATCAACATGCAGAAATTGGGCACAGAGAAGGGCTGTAAACACTTCTGTGAGGGCACCAGGATTGACAACCTAATAACCTACCAACTACCTGTTTCAGTGGTTTAGCACCCATGTGGCCAGTCCTAGGACCCCCTAAACACACCAACATTCCATATGTGAAGGTCAAAAATCTGGATATATTTACAAACTGGCTTGAGGAATACAGTAGGATAATACATAAGTACTTTGATCAAGACCATCATTCATATTATAACTACCTAAAAGAGGTTTCATTATAAATGTAAAACAAAAACACAGCATGTGTCTTTCAAACATAAATTATAAAGTGAAAGTTAAAGGAAATAAAGAGGGTCAAATATTTTTCTTTTCGTTGTCAGCACAGCCTAATTATAACACAAGACCTTACCGGCTGGAAAACAAGCAACTGACCCTTGATTTTTCCCAGTAAAAGGTGTGACACGATCTACGGTTACTAAGAGTGTTGAGCCCATAAATATAAACCAAGGGTCTGGTTCACCCACCTCTCTGGCATGATTAAATTGTTAGTCACTCTGGATAAGATCGCCAGCCAAATGCATTAATGATAATGTAAAAAAAAAAATAAGGCAGATTCTTGCCACTCCTTAAAATCCCAGCCTTGCTGCATACCAAGACTTATTATTCAGTAAATACAAAGACTACACTGTAAACGGAGTTATTCTTAAATTATAGAAATGCGTTACAAAACTTTGGACCCATCAGTTGGTGCTGGCCACTCATGGGTTAAAGAAACAAACCATACATTATGAAAACAGAATTTAATTATAATAAAAATGATACATTTTTATTTATACATCATTTTACAAAATCTGGACTGGAAAATATGTTGGAAAAATAAGTCAGAATCACAGAATCTCACAGCATTTTATAACAGCAATTTGCAGCAAATTACAAACAATAAGTCAAGAAATAGAATATAGCCACTACACTAGGCCAGAGGTTCTTAACCTTTTTCAGAGTGCACCCCTTTTTTAGGGTTAAAATTATTTAGCTTCACATTTATTTTTTGCATTTTCGCACTCTTTCCCATTCAAGTGCCTTTTTTTTTTGCAAGTTACACATCAAAATTATTTTCTCTGTGTTTTATAAGCCATATATATTTTTAACGCACCTCTTTTGCAACCCCACTACCTGAAAACATCTCAGAACCCCTGAGGGAGTTGCAACCTCCAAGTTAAGAGCCCCTGCACTAGACATATAATAGCCTGAAATATATTTTTAGTTCTTAGGACTAAAAAAACCCTATTCAGCTTACAATCCAATACTCTCTGAACACTATTCCAGAGTTTAGAGGTCACAGTCGTATGCATAAATTTGTGTGGCCCTAGTCAAATTCCATATTTTGTTAATTTGAGGTTACACACTTCTGCACATTTTAATACACAATTATTGTTTATTTGCTCATTTTAACATATTTTGGGAAAAAATGTGTGGCCTGTGCAAAGGTTTTCCAGTAGGTTAAACTCAGCAAATAAACAGAAATTGTGCACTAACGTGAAAGAAATGACACATTTGTGTTCTCTGTAGAGGATGTGTCACTTATTTTTACTTAGAACATCAATAAAACATCAAATTTGACCATGTGTGCCCAAACATGTGCATATGACTGTATTGGAAAGGGATCTTCCTCTGTCCAAGCTGGACATGATCATAGGAATTAGCACTAAACCTTAACTGAGGGAAATTGTCTGGACAGGCACTTCAGCAGATAAAGTAAGATATGTTGGAGCTATTTTTTAAAACGCAAAAATTACCTTTTTTGTGCTAATTTTTACTTTTGGTTCCACTGAAACATAATTAAAGGGACAGCTCCCCGATTTTATATGTCAAAATATGTCCTCATCACCAGGAGAACATTTCTGACTGAAGTCAGCTGATGGAGAGTACTGGGCTACCACTGACTCTTTGTGGTATTTGAGGTTGTTTAGTGTCTATGGAGGTGGAATCTATTTGCTGAAATAAGTATGCAAAATTTACTATAACATATCTTAGCAGTTTTCGACTTACTTCAGTGGGTTGAACAAGTAGTCATTCAATATCAAAACAATAGTCATCCATAAAAAACATCATAATGTAGATGGACAGATTATATTACATATATATTAGATTATTATAGATTATACTATCGCTTCATCATTTTGGGTCCGAATTGCCTGCAACTGCTGCAAAATCTCATGCACCTCACTAAATAATGGGAAGCAACGGCTCTCGCTTTCACTGTGTTATAATTTTTGCACTCCATCACAACACAAAGAGTTGGAAATTATTTTGTGAGTAACTGACAATTGTCAAGGACTGCAAACAAATACATGCTCCTCTTTTTCACTGTGTGTCTTACTGTTCTGCAGGATCAGAGGTAAACATGCAGTAGGAAGTTACAGAAAGACAAGAAGAAAAGAAATAAAAAATATCAAGCACATTACTATTATCACCAAAACTTCCACAATGGGAAGTTCATGAGTTGTTGGAGGATGAATCTCCTTCAGAGGCTGTAAAACATTAAAACATTTTTTTAAATAGCAACAACAAAAAGTGGACAAACCATTACAAATAAAAAAAAAAATCATTTTTTTTGAATGCAACATAAATAACAAAGAAACACTTACGTGCATTGGGGTTTCCTGAAACCGGTTTGAAGCCTGAAAGATGGATGATGGACATGGAATTATAGTAAGATGTGTGTATGGTAATTGATCTACTTCATAACAAACATTCTCACTAAGAATAAATTATAAATGTGATAAATATTAGTTCTCTTCAATTAACATTTAGATTAGGATCCTTAATATCAGATTTAAATCTAGTCTTTATGTGTAAAATGTATCTATATATTTTAAAAATCTTCATTTCTTTAAAAAACTGAACATTTGCCTCCCTCCTCTCTTACCAGACTGCTTCTTCTTCCAAATGAAAACTCCAACACATCCAATAAGGACGAGGAGCAGAACAGCCACAACTGCACCAGTGATGATACCAACTGACCCTCCACCTGAAACACCAGAGCGTTACATTAGGAGACACTTTCTTTAGTTATTTTTAGCTTCTTGAAAACAATAAATAAATAAAATAATTTAGAAAATAAACATGCACAGCTTTTTCCTTCAGTACTAGAAGGTCCCACCTGTCTTGAATGGCAAAACCAACTCCTCTTTCAGACTGCTGTGATGAACGACACAGCTGTACTGATTCTCCTTCAGCTCCTCAGGTGAGACAGTCAGAACGCTCCTCTTCTGGAAGGTTCCATCCTGGTTGGGTAGCGTCTCTCTGAGCTCCACGTCCTCATGCAGATCCTCTCCGTTCTTCTGCCAGGAGATCATCACTGCTTTGGGGAAGAAACCTGTAGCATGACACACCACTGGAGAAGAAGAGTTCTTCTGGAACAGAAACGCCTCAGGAGAGACTGGAGAGAGAGAGAGAGAGAGAGAGAGAGAGAGAGAGAGAGAGAGAGAGAGAGAGAGAGAATGTAAATGTAAATAAAAGGCTGGGAATCAAAATTTAATACTTTAATGGAACCAGACAAATATTTCAGTACTACTGTCAATGTCATTGAACCTTTAATTTGTCAGTCTTATCAGCATCAGTGAGCCAATAAGCCTGCTTGTTCTAAAATCTATACAGGTAAACATCAGTGCTCCTTGATTAGTCTGTGGTCAGTCAGTCTGTAAATATACCCTCTAGCACCTCATACTCATGTCTGATTTAAGCCACACCTACTTTCCATTTGAAAGGTAAAAAGTTCATCAATGAGTATCAAAGTAATGGTATTGGTACACCATGCCCTACGTATTAAGAGATTAATTTATTGCTGATATTTTACAGAAAATGACAGCCCATTGCTGTTTATTGCCATACCAATTATGCTTATTGGTGTAGTAAAAGCTTTACTTACAGTGGCTCCAAAAAATATTTGGCCAATTTAACCATTTAACTATTGGTGACCTTTAATGAAGTGCTTTAGGTTACTTCATAAAACACTTAACGTGATACATGTTTAGGAAAAAAACAGTTTCAGCAACTTCAAACTGATGGTAAACTCTTTAGGTGGAAAAATCCGGAACTCTAAATCTAAAACTCAAGGTCTTTTTTTATTTATTTTTTTTTCATAATATAAGCTTGATGCTCTAGAGAGGAAAATATGTGGCCAATTGTTGAAAAAGCAGTATAGGGCCAATTGGCAAATGTGAGAAGTATATTGATTGACTGGTGCCCAGAAATACGGACAGAAACCCTAAATATGCATTATGTAATTATGATGTATAAATCAGGGTTCTTTTTTCAAAGTTGTCCCCCCAGAGTTGTTGAAACGTATTAACAAAAAATTATCTATTTAGTAAAATAGTTATTTTAGTCAAGTATGGTAATGATTTTTTTTCTTTGTTTTTTGTTTTTTTCCTATGTGATAACAAGGTAGGGCAACAACCCAGATCCCCTAGTGAATGAAACTAGGGGTCTGGGCGGGATTGTTTTGTCAGTCATGGTCATCAGGCTCACTGTGAGTAACTTCACCAAACGCCATTTATTCACCATTTAAACACAGAGCAGGAATTAAACCACAGAGTGTTTATTTTTGGTGTTGTGCTGGGCAGCTGCAGCTGTCGGACTGAAGGCTCCACCGTCTTTCTAACGCCTGATTCACACATGCTGCCTCTGAATAAAAGCAAACTGCAAAATACTGTAATGTTCAGGGTTCTCGGGAGAGATGACTTGAGGTTACAGTCCATAACACAGCTTTATTTTTAATTTGCTATAATTTTATTCTGCGCCAAACATCACGAGAAGAAACACAGCTTCTGCAGCACTAACAGCAAACCTCTGCTGTGCTCCAGAAAACCCACCACTCCATCCACATTCAGGCTTTTCTACATTAATGTCCTTGTACCTACACGCTTAAAAAAGATCTTCAAAAGTTCTTTAGTAAAAAAGGTGATTCTATATAGAACCATGAACACTCAAAGAATTCTTTGCATGATTAAAGGGTTCTCTACATCATGAAAAGGTTCTTCAGATTGATGGAGAATGTGCTGAAGATGGTTCTATATTTTGGAATGGGTTCTATAACACCAAAAAGATTTCTTCTGTTATGATGTCAAGCATGTAACTGTAGTAGTACCCTTTTTGGTGGTATATAGAACCTTTTTCAAAAATGTGACATACAGAACTATCTACAACACATTCTCCATCAGTCTGAAGAAAGAGTTCACCATGCAAAGAACCATTTAAGCATATAAAGGGTTCTTTGAGTGTTCATGGTTCTATATAGAATCAATTTCTTTGCTAAAGAACCTTTGAAGAACCATCCTTTTCAAGTGTGTACCCGAACCTAAAACAGCCCAGCATAAACATTTCTTAGATTTTACAGCAGATGAGGCCGTACATGTGCTTTCAATGTCAGACGCAGATTTTCTGAATGACTTTCTCAATGATAGGAGAGCTAAATGAAGAATTAGGAATTACATCGTTTTTGCACCACTGCCAATTCCAGTTAATGCTTTTAATTTCTTAAGAATTAAGTTAACTTAAGAATTTCCTATATGTTTTGCAGTTTTATTTTATTGTTTTATCAAACCTGATTTCTGCTTAACTCTACCACTGACATTTTCAGCTATACATTAGCATGCTTGCTTGCTTATCTATCTATCTATCTATCTATCTATCTATCTATCTAATCACACGTCAGTGAACAAGGAAGTATGATCCTTGGAGGGAGGCATTCAATTAACTAAATAAGTAATTGTTATTCATTTTAAACAAAAAAAGCAAAACAATGAAAACATATTGACAGCACCTGCAGTGCTAAATATTCAGTGGATGTAAACGCAGGGCCTCAGTGTTGAGTGGATGGAAGTTTCTCCTCCATGTTCTGGTGAGTAATCAGTGAGTAAATGATCAGCAGGTTTTCAGTGATGAGGGTGAAACAGTGAGAGTGAACAGTTACAGTAACAGATCAGATCACTGTACCTTTCCTCTCCAGAGTGGATCTGCCATATTCCATGTACTTCTTTAACCACTCGATACATTCATTCAGAAGGTAGTTCTTTGCATAATTAGCCTCCCATCCAGTAGCATCCAATTTCTGTTTGGTAATAAAAGCTTTAGGATTAGGTGCCGTCCAGGTGAGAGTGTTCAGATCCACAAAAAGGAAGTCTTCTCCATCATAAGCATACATGTCATATCCTCTCTTGGTTCCGTCATCATGTAGCTCACAGCCGTACATCCACTGCACTGTGTGAACCCCTGCAGACATAACCATGAGCACATACTCACTACATACAGTACTACCACATCAGCCTCTGTACTATCCACAGCTCTCTGATCCCAACTCCAATCCCCCCATGGTATGCTGGGATTGTGATATTCAAATACATCAAGAACTCTACCATTTAATAATTAAAAACTTATTCTCACCTTTAGTGTGATTGTAGCGCTCCATTGCTATATCCAAACTGACTTTGAAGTCCTCCTGGTTGCCCTGTGCACGCTGAGTGTTTCTGAACCAGTAATCTGGCTCATCATCCTTAGCGCTTTTGATCCACTCTGTCTTTGGGATCATCTTCCTGATGTCACTGTCATAGTACATAAACTGCTCTCCATCCACCAGACCAACCAGAGTGAACTCTGGGAAACTGATGCCTGGTGTCACTCCAGTATAGAAGTACTGCAGAGAGTGTGTGGCTAAAGAAAAAAAAAACAATCGTTTAATTTGACAAAGATAACCACACAGTCTATGTGACAGGTCACACAATGATGCATACCAAGTTCGTTCAAATAAAAAATTTAACTGAACTGAACTGAACAGCTATTAGTCAGGAGTGGACAGAGTACAATACTTCTGTACTTGACTAAAAGTAAAAATGAGTTTCATACCAAAATGTTGTATATCTATTTGTCCCAATTTTGGATATAAAGAGTTGTGAAAAGAATAACTGTTGACATATTACACACTTTGTTAAAGAATACATTTTTATTCTTCTAATAAAAGTGGTTTTAATCATAACACAGACCTGATGTTTCATGTATGTGTAAATCAAAGGACTGATCTTATGAAAAAAAATAATGAAAGTGGTTTTTAAACACTTCAAATATTCTAGGTAAAATTTTAATTACACAAAAATACAAGTAGCATATTCCATCCACATTTCTACTTGGGTAAAACTACAAACAAACTCACTTCTGACTGTACTTAAGTATCAAAAGTACAAGTACTCTGAGTTAGACTGTGTAATATTATTTTGATCAGTCATTTTTAACAAAGAAACCTATGTGTCCGCAGCTTTTATTATACAAGAACTCAAAGTGCTTTTATTGTTGACATGTAAGCAATAAGTTACTTTTGTAGTTTTCGAAAATTGTCTTTCTTTTTTTAAATACATTTGTTGTTGGGAGTTTTCTTTACACATGCAATAAATATCAGTGTTATGATTAATACCACTTATTAGAGAAATACAAAAGTGTTTTAACAGCATTAACGTCAGTTGTTATTTATAAAAAGTCGTTATGTCTAAAATGAATATGAATATACAGCATTTTAGAAACAACCTTTCAAATATAGATAGAAAGCCTTTACTTTTATTCAAACACAGAACTGTTGTACTTTATCTACTCCTGACAGCTGGAGCAAAAGCACATCATCAGTCTCTGGGTAAACCCTGTTGTCAAACTGAAACTGACCTTTCATCTATTTTGGTTCATAAGGAAGGTGCTATGTAGTTTATTATCTTGTTTTTATGGGTTACAAAATAAAAATAAAAAAATGGTACATCTTCTTAAGCTTGTTACTGCAGATGAAAAAAAACTAACCAAATGGATTTAACAGGCTCCTAGAGAACGGAAACGTTATAATTATTTTACTTATTTAATTATTTTTTTTTTTATAACATGGGAGGTTTAAGATCATAAAATAACTACTAAGTAAGGACTACAAGGCTAATTCATTTATGAGACAAAACTTCTTCAAGCAAAGCCAATTAATTCAAGCAAACATAACCGATCATAAACTGAACTTCATCTTGCGATTTTCTTTCCAAATGGAAAATTAAAATGAAAGAAAACACGAAACAGTAAACCGTGTACAGACACAGCAAAATGCGATACAAGCTTTCTGAATATTGAAGTAAACGGTTGCTGTGTAATGATCGTTAAAGACGGACATCGAGCTCACCTGGTGAAGCGAGCTGAACGGTAAAGGCGAGGAAAATCAGAGACTTCATGATGTCGTTTCCGTGCTTCATTCTGTGTCCTTTCCCATCCGACACCGGCTAAACAGAAAAGTTTCTTCACTTATTATTTTATTCCTTTAGTAAAAGTCTGTAAAGCATGAGAGTCACCGAGCTGCTCATGGTCCGTTCAGCTGGAGAGAGAACTGTTTCTGTTTCATTCTGACCAATTACAATGTGGGACACACACACGCCGTCAACAGTAGCTGAGCAGAACACGACAGAGGAGGTTGATATCGAAAGTAAGCAACGTGAAGACAAGCAACTTTTCAGTAAAAGCAATAGTTCTGTGTAGAAACAGTAATACATGGTTCTTTGCATGGTGAAATGGTTCTTCAAACTGATGGACAATGTGTTGTTTGTGGTTCTATGGAGCATCAAAAAGTGTTCTGTTACTGTTACAATGTCAAACTTATAACAAGAGCAGAACCAAGTTTGTTGGATAGAACCATATACAACACATTCTCCATCGATCTGAAGAACCATTCACCCTGTAACGAAGCATGGGCTCTGTGAAATGTCGCCTCTATAATAAATAATGAAACGCAGTTGAAAAATCATCAGCTGGACTGATGCTTAACACGCTGTGAGTTACATATGAAGAAGCCAGGACTAAAGAAAAAAACTCTCTCATTCTGTCCAATGACAAGTTAGTATTCACGTCATCACCAGTAGCTGAGGAGAACATGAGAGAGGAGGTTGAAAGTGAACAAAGTGAAGTTAATGGCGGAGACCTATAGGCTCTGTGAAATGTCTCTTCTGTAATAAATAACTTGATTAAATGTCACAATCAGATAAAATACAGCCTAAACCCCTTATTAGCCATATCCAGAACTGTTGGTGGGGACTAAATGGCACTGGTCTTTGACACTGGTCTAGCCCAGAGGAGCTACAGACACCTGCAGAGGGCATGTGATTTCTTACAGGGTGTTTTTTTTTTTCCTTAAGTAATTACAGATGTTTTATTCTGAGCTCATTTAGACATAGTTTACTCATTTTTTACATACTGGAAGAACTAATAAGCATTGACATTATCTGCTATAACTAATTACTGAATTAAGATTTATTAGTTCAATTTTCTTTATTTGTTATCATTTTTAATGTAAAAACGCGAAATATTGAAGTTTTGAAATGAAGTAACTGAAGAGGTCCTTTTGTCCTGAAGCAGACCAGTTGTGTAGCTATTCCTGCAGGCTCCTGCAACGGCGTCACAGTGGAGTGATACAGTGTTTGTGAAAAAAACGTGATGTTATGGCGAAACAAGAGCGCGGTTACAACGCTTCTCAACCAATCAGCTTGCGTAGCCGGAACTAAGTGTTGTGTAAAATGTGATATTGCAACCAAATGATTGCACTTAGTATTTAACTGAAAGAATCTGCGCAGATAAGAGGCAAATTCAATAGTCACAAAAATGAATGACTTGACTTTTGACTTTTAGATAGCGTGAAATCTTATAATGTGGACCAAAGTCGTTTAACTATACATATTTTAGATGATTAAGAAATAAAATGAAAACAAATCTGTCCATGCATTTTAATTTTATCAGCATTATAATTATGTTTCAAAATAAGCCAGCAGTCCAGCCCTCACCTTTGGAGGTTTGCCAGCATGCAATACGCGTGTATAGTCAATAAGATGGTGAACAGCTCCCTCTGCTGGTAAACCTGTTCATTGCGCAGCAGATTTGCATTCTGTTTGTAATATGATCATTTTTCATGTCATTTCAAATGCTGTCAGGCAGATTATAAGTATGCACACTAACACTGGTGCACAGTGTTGCTGTGGTTTTGAGTAACACACATTCTGTTTAGGTGTGGGCATATTTATTTATATTATTAAAATGCATCATTACATGAATATTTTCTTTAATGGCTTTGCAGAGTAAAGATATTGTCAACATCACTGTCTCTGTCTGTGACTGATTCATTCTGATTTTTAGTCTCATGATGACCTGCTTTACTGCACTGACTCCAAATACAAATGTCACATCCTCAATCACCTGTACAGCTTTTGTTATCTACCTGAACTAATGTTGCAAAGATACATGCTGTCATATGCAAAAGTTATGGCACCCCTGGTCAAATTCCATGTATTTGTTGATTTTCTAAGTGTAAGTAAGTGAACACATCCTCTACAGAAACACACTACTGCACAAATACACAATGACTGTTTATGTGATTAACTTAATATATCAGGGAAAAACAAAACATCAAGGTTATGGCACAATTTATATGTTATGTTGTATTTTTTCTAATATGTTAAACAAATACATAGAAATTGTGCACTAAAGTTTGGAGAAGAATGTCATGTTTGTTCTCAGTAGGGTTCCCAACTTATTTGCACTTAGAAAATCAACCGTACTTCCTCCAACATCAGTTGAAAAAAGTCCTAATATCTTTTGTTTACCAAAAAAAAACTCTAACAAAAGGTATTGTCTGCCAAGTTATTGTCTGATAGAAGAGTATACAATATGTGGATCTGTGTTCATGTCAGCATGTCTTCCTGTCTTTTTGTTCTTCTTATTGGAGAACTGTAGAGCAGCATAGTTCACAGAGTCCCGGTCCTGCTCCTGCAATCATACAGAGGATAAGTATGAGATGATAAAGTAATGAGCCAGTTAAAACTAGATTTTTTCCTTAGAAAAAGCGTTTTTATCAGGTTGCTATTAAGTGTCATTTACATAACAATGACATAAGGCCTTCATGATATAAGGATTCTTTTATATTGCATTTGGTTCCATTTACTTATATTAAAAGTGAAGTAAGTTTTTTCCTTGTCCTGTAAAGTTATCATTTCGGAGATACGAGGTTTTGTCCTGACCACAGCGATATGCCACATTTTTAACCTATTCCGGATATTTCTTTGTTCTTGAAAATAAAGCTGATGTTGCATTTATTTATCATTGTTTTGTTGTTGTTGTTGTCTTTTTTTTAAATGTATGTTTCTACAAACACTATTTTGAAAAAAACATGGTACAGTAGGTAAAATGTAAATAAAACACAGCAATGAAAATCCTTTTTGATCTGTATTCAATTCAAAACAGTACAAAATCAAGATATGTAATGTTTCAACAAATTAACTTTCAATGGCCCCATTGTCATATTTTGTGCTTCATAATGTGCCACACGTTTTCAATGGGGGGCAGGTCTGGGCTGCAGGCAGGCCTGCTTAGCACTTGCAGTCTCTTACTATGAAGCCTTGCTGTCTTACAGTCTTAAACTTGCATTTGTGGATGCAGCGACAAATGATGTTTACTGACAAGGGTTTGTCAAAGTATGCCCAGGCCCATGTGGTCATATCCATCACAGAAACATGCCGAATTTAAATGCAGCGCTATCTGATGGGTTGAAAGTCATTCATCTGTGGTTTTCGGTCTTGCCCTTTACACACAGAGACGTCTCCAGATACTCCGAATCTTTAAATAATGTCATGCACTGTAGAGGGTGAAACACCTAAAATCCTTACAGTCGTGAATTGAGGAACATTGGGCCTCATTCACCAACCGTTCCTAAGATGAAATTTCTTCATAAACCCTAGTTACATAGTTTTCACGAAGATTCTGAGATTCACCAGTGTTTCCTTATTTGGGATTTTTTCTTAGGTAAGAACAGAATCTACACACTCAAAAGCACAAAGGTGAGAACGGTTCTGCGCTTTAAGAACTCATCATGAATCTGACGTAGACTTTTTCCTAGGACCTTTCTCAAGAACACGCTTAAGAAAAAAACAGGAAGATATTGGAGAATGAAGCCCACTGTTCTTAAATGGCTGATGGATTCCTTTAGTAAAGTGGCGAGCCTCGATCCATCCTTGTTTTTGTAACATTTAATAAACGTTCCTGGTCTTAAACTGACCCTATTCCAACTTTTTTGGAACATATTACAGGTCTCAATTTTCAGAATGAGCGCATATTTACAAAAGCTAATCGAGTTTAAAAGGTAAAGCATTAAATGTTTTGTTTTTATACTGTTTTCATTTAAATACAGGTCAAAGTTAATTTACAGACCACAGCTTTCTGTTTTAATTTGCATCGTATTACTGTCCCAAGTTTTGGAACTGGAACTGGAACAGGGTTAAATATTACAGAAAGTATATGAGTTTAGTTTTGATACACATAATTATGAAAGTATATGATTATGATTTTTGAGCATTCCTTACTTGAGCTTGGGCTCAAAGTAGTTAGGATTTGTGTTTTGTATCTACTTTATACCAGGTTTCATTCACTGTAAAAAACAAAAAAACAAAAAACAAATGGTGTCTCACCTTAAAAAAGTAAGTGAACTTGCTGCCATAATACTTTGAATTAATGAAACTTCATATAATACTTTAGCAAAACAAGTGTACTTACTTTTTTATAGTGTTCCATTTTCTGTACTTAAAATAAGATAAGTGAAACAAAGATAAATAAAAATAGATTAAAAGTCTCTATATACTTCATTAATTTTTCATCTTTTTTGCCAATATACACAGTCTGTGGGTCCTCTCTTGCTAAAACTGTGAAGAGTTTCTTCAGAAAAGTACAGTCATTTAATTTGAAAGCAAATATCCTTTTAGAACATATGAAGCACATCTAGAAGAGACAAAAGAACCAAAGATTCTAATTTGGGTACCTCATGCTCGTAAAAATATCAGAGATTGTACAGTGACAGTCATCGATTGATATGTCACGTTTGCTAGAGTGATTTCTCAAGTGGAAAACAAATGTATAGCTGTAAGTATGCATTATAACTATTAGGAGGAAATGCAAAACTACAAATAAAACATTGCTGGAAAACCTTGTAGTACTATTTTTATTGTTTTTAGTTTTTTTGTTTGTTCTTTGAAAATGCAATTTTCATAATTTGAAAATGCCAGCTCCTTTACATGAAAATTCATAGTAAACTGATGAATAAAAAAGGGTCCACAATTACTTGAAATAAATAATTGCTGCATTCAAATATAATTTACTACTAAAAAAAATACTAATTTAGCAATAAACGTTTTTGTTACAACAACATGCACATAGGACTTCACAAGTGGGATGGATGTAACTTATAGCAATTTGCTAATTGTGAGTGTGGTGGAAAATGGATATTGGCTTAAGAATATAAACTGAATATTTACATATACAGTGCCCACCAAAATTTCTGACACCTTCTTTAAATATGAGTATGGCCACAGTGGTTAGCTTCTCCAAAGGAGAAAATCTCAGACACACAAGAAATAAACAGTAAATTCAGTGATTGTAGTGAACAACAATATGCAGTAATAAATAAGAATCTTTTCATTTGCAATTAAGCAAAACTTTTAATAATACTATAACAAAGAAACTAAACAGTTAATGAGATTATAAATGTGCACCAGGTCATGACAAAATTAGTGTGTTTCAATTTGTGCTTGAATGAAATGAGGTAGCCTTTAATTTTAGAGGCCACTGTATCTTCTTTGTTTTTAAACATAAAAGTATTTTCAGTTTTACCTCATGTTCTTCAGCTTGAGTGGTAACGCCTAAAATACAACAGCAAAGAAAACATAGTTAGTTTCACTCTTTGTCTGGATTTTCCTTGGTTAGGTACACATGTACACAATGAATTTACATTAATATTTCGCAGTCATATGCAAAAGTTTGGGCACTCATATTTTTCATATTGGATAAATCTCATTAAAACTTAAGTATAAATAATATAATACATAAATAGCAGTATTTCACCTCTGTTTCTTTTTCTGTTCTTCACTATGATGAAGACCAGGACACTGAGCAGAATCACAGTCACTGCACCAAAGACCAGAATCACCATGAATAACACCTCACAACAAGCACAGTCTGGGAGAAGACATAAAGCCATTACCTTCAAACCGCATCATACATTGAGTTTAGAACAGAGTATGATCTATAAATATGATGTTAAAAGCATTTTAGAGAAGAGAGAAATGGCCAACCTTCCGCTCCGTCTGAGCTCTTAGGAAGTGTTTCAGGACTTGCTGAAAAAAGAGAGATTACTTTTTGAAACCTTGATCATTTCGAGGATGAACTACACAGTAAAATTCTTTATTTGAATTTCATAGAGCAGCAGCTGCTCTCTCTGTGGAAACATACCTTTGATTTGCAGGTGAGTTGTGTTGCTAAAGATCAAGTGGTCACGCTGTGTGAAGCTGCAGTAATAGAGTCCTGAATCAGACTGATTCACTGCGCTTATTCTGAGAGATGTGTTCTTGGTGTTCACAGTCATCACCATTCGGGCATTTTCAGTGAAGAAGTAACACTTTTCTGGTTGGCTTGAGGACATAAACTGTTTGCAGCCAAGAAGAACTGGTACAGAACTATTCCCTTGTTTATACCAGAATATATAGTCCGATCGGGTCAGGCTGTGTGGGCACCAGAGAGTGACATCATCACCAGGTTCTGCTTCTACAGTTAAACCAGCCTGAGAGCTCAAACACACTGACAGAACACCTGAAACATATGAAATAATACATATCAAAAATTACTTTGAATGCATTTGTGGTAGATTTGAGCTATTATTTTAGTTTAAGGTATCCAGTAAGATACATTTGTGACTAACCTTCCACTAAATTAAATCAAAGGTTAAGCATCTTGTATTACTGTCAGTAACAATGGTGAATTGCTGGAAATGCCTCTAAAATAGTTCTGTAAATGTCACAAAAGCAACCATTCAGGAAAGAAAGCATCTTTTTAAAATGTGCACTGTTCTGAATGATCAGTACTCAGGTTTCTTTAGGTTTCACATGGCATTAATTTAGAAACCTAGAAACCACCAGAAAAAGAGAAAGAAATAATCATGTTACAAATAACTGGGGGAGATTAATTCCTCTTAATTTCTATTAGGCTGTATTTTAACAGCATTGTTGTGGTCTACACAGCAAGTGTCTCTCACACTGTTCTACACTCCTTTGTGAATTTTGTAAAGCAATAAGTATTGTAAGATTATTAGTACTTACCCAAGAGCAACAGAGGCTTAATTCCAAACTGACCCATCGCTGTATCAGTCCAGAGACAAAGAGGAAATGTCTCTCTGATGAATCAAACGCTGCTTTATCTCTGAGTAGGAGGCGTGGCCTTTACCTTCAGCAGTTAAACTCCAAAAGTAAAAGTCTGATCCCAAATGCTACAAAGCAGCTCAGTCATTTATCTAGCGGACAAATACTCAATTAATCTGAAGCCAGACGCAGTAAGATTTCTCTTTGGTTCACTGCGTCCTCATCAGTGCTGGACTTGCTGGAATGCCCATCAATATTTGGCAATCATGTGTTTAGTTCGTCTGGTTTTATTCAAAAGAGGTTGTTGAACTCGTATAGTGAAGGGGGTGAAGAGATATAAACAAATTGTACAGACAATTGTATTTATTTTTTAGGCATTTGGTTTGTAAAGCAAAGTGAAGAGTGAGTCTGGTTAAAAACTCTGTTTTTATTGCAGCAAAAGGGTACAAAAACAGCAGGTGGTCACACATTTTGTACACATTTTCATTAGAAATGATATTTTCAATATAATATGATGTAGTATTTTCATGAATTTCAGAGTGGCAGCATGTACTTGAGCTGCATGGAAGCCACACGTTTGTGTGAGAATTATGTGAACATTGAGCTTTAGTGGAAGAGATAAGACAGAAAAATCTGACCTTTTTGTTCAAAGGCCTCACAAATTTGCTTAAATTTGAATTTAGACCTAGAAATAATACAAAATATTTAATATTTCTCTTTGATTGTACATGTCATTTGATTTTTTTATTTAGTGTAATACCAGATATTAAACGTTGAGTATTTGGAATGCTAATAAAAAAGAAAGCACTGATTTTTGGATCTACTTTAATTTGTTTTCACACAAAAAAGTCTACTAGATATTTAATGTTTTATCTTATGAATTTCATATTTTCTTATAAATGCACACTCATTCTGATTCACTCTTTCTCACTGGGGCCTGCAACAGGTTCCAACTAAAGTTTGGACAGTGGTAATGTAAGCCTAGAAACAATGTTAAATGTTCAGAAAGCATTTTAAAGAGGTGACATAATCATGCTTGGATATAAAAGAAGCTTCCAGGAAAGGCCGAGTCCTTTATGAGCAAAGATGAGGCCACTTTGCCAAAACCACATCTGCCAAAAATTAACCAGTTCAAAACTAATGCCACCTCAACAAGCAACTTGAGGGAATGAGGAGAAATCTCTATGTGTAAAGGGTGGAAAGTGAATGCCCGTGACCTTTGACCTCTCAGACAGCACTACATTAAAATCCAGCATGTTTCTGTGATGGATATCACCTTGTGGGCTTGAGAAAACTTTGACAAACCGTTGTCAATGACACCATCCATCGCTGCTTCCATAAATTAAGACACTATTCATAGTGGAAGTCATACATCAACAACGTCCAGAAACACTGCCGATCTCTCTGGGCTCGAGCTCATCTGGAATGAACTGATGCACAGTGGAAACATGTATTGTGGTGTGACAAGTCAACCTTTCATATTGTTTATGTTTCATAATAGTAATAGAATTATTCATTATAGTTACTGAATAAAAAAATCCTGCAGTTTACGAGGGTTATAAAATGAAATATCTATAGGTAATTTGGTCTGATAATACACTGAATATTCAAGGTGGACACTTTGATATTACTTTTTTGCAGTTTCATTTATTTTCGAACAATACATCATGCGCTCCTCCTCTAAAGGTTTACAGAACAATGAATAGTGTGTGTGGTAAAAAACAGGTTGAAAATCTTGTGATCTCTGATCAGATACTGATGAGGGCTGTGAAACTGTGATCAAAACACTGCAGATCATGTGTGATAAGCAAATGTTCACACTTTTTTCTGTTTAAAGATGGAGGTAAACAAGTGGTAATTCTTTTTTATCATTATTTATGGTCATCTCACGGTTAGAGAGTATTCAGGCCATTACTATTTTTGGTAATAATCTGTGTCTATTTATGGGAGACCTAAAATTCTTATACTTACAAATATAATCTGCAAATTCAACTGACTGTTTGGCAAATCCAAAATCCTGTATCTGTTTGTTGCTAGTCTGGTGCTACATAGTTAACAGTTCAGTAGCCCAATGGAATATTTAGAAGCTTGCAGAGGTGAACATCTGAAACATTTTCATTCCAAATTAAACTTGCTTTACTAGATGTTCAGAGCAGATATACAGGTTTGAAATAAAGAGAGTTTTCCGAGTCCTGTTTAATCTAACTAAAGCTAACTAGTATGCTAACTGATCCTAAAGATCAAATTTACCTTCACTGAGAACTGTTAAAAGTTTTGACACAGTAGGGAGAGTTTATAGATAACTGTGACTGGTGAGATGTCAACCATTAGTTTTCAAACAGTAAATTATTAATAGAAATACTTCACATCTAATATTGTTCTCAATATCAAGTGTATAAGGATGATTCTACCAAATTAGTTTTAAGTCAGAGTTGAAAACCTTTTGCATTAAGTGACCCTATACCTTAATGCTTATTTTATTAAAAAGTATTTATTAAAATGTATTAAAAGACTGATCGTTCCATTTTGTCCCTACCAAAACAACTATAGCACTAATAGTGACAAGTTTAGCAGAACTCAAAAATGCTACATGACTAGCAAACACAGCTTTGAACAGTTGAATATATTTTCATTAAAACCTAAATATGTTTGTTTACTTGCAGAAAACGTGTTTCGGTAGAGAGAACTTAGTGTTTCACACTAATTTTTAGATTTTGGGACACAGAGCAGAATGTCTGCAGTTAAGGAAGTACATCTGTCCTCATACAGATCATACTGTGATGTAATATTTTTGGTTCTTTTAACCAAAGTTAGTCTGCACTGCTTCATAGAAGGTATGAACAATTCTGGTCTTATTTTAGCATTTTTTAACACTATCAACAGTAAACAAGCTTGACATGCCTCTCTGGTAATGGAAAATGAGAGGTGTTAAAGTGCAGCCGTGTGGTTTTGATGCAGCGAGCTGATGAAAACAGAGGGTCAGTTTTGCGGTTGGAAACATTCAGACCAAGATGTGCACGTATAAATACACACATCCACCCACAAACACACACAGGTTGTACAGTCATTTGTATTTGACCTTTATGCTCATGAAAGACGTTAGTGATTATCACTACTGTTGATTATGCAGTATAAGTTGTATATCCTAGTATAATCATGAAAATCATACATTTTTCTCCCTTCTTTTTGCACTTGAGTTTGCATTGCTGGCAGGGAGTCAGTGGCAGCCTGATCCCTGATTGTCTCCTGTGTATAAACATTTTTAATGTTCTGGTCTTACTTTGATGCTACAGTCTGACTTTTATCAGAGCAGTTGTTAAATAGCTAATAGTCTAGTGCTGAAGTCCTGCCAGTTTTACAGAGCTGACATTAGTAAGCAGCCCTTGCCTAAGATTACTTAATGTGCTATGATGGTACACTATGCTAGCACATCAGGCTAATACAAAATAGCATTTTAGCTGACATTAAAGCTGTTTGTTAATGTCAGTACTTTATTTATCAGAGTCACCTTTCACAAAAGTTTTTAATTACAATCTATTTTTACCTGAATTAATGTCAGCATCTCTGTGACTGACTGGAGACTTGAACATGGTGGTATCCAGGACCAAAAAGGTCCAGGTAGGGGAGAAAAAAGGCCAATGGGCCTCATTTACCAGTAACTTAATAAGTTTTCTCTTTGTGTTCTTGAGAAAGGTCCTAAGAAAAAGTCTACATCCGATTCATGACGTGCCTTCAAACCACACAACTGTTCTCACCTTTGTGCTCTTGAGTGTGTGTAGATTTGGTTCTTACCTAAGAACAAATCCTGAACTAGAAAAGACTGGTGAAGGTTAGAATTTTCATGACAACTGTGTAATTGAGTTTTAGGAAGAAATTTCTTCTTAGGAACAGTTGATAAATGAGGCCCATTTTTTTTTAAATGACACACAGACACAGATATTGTTACAACTAGGGGTGTATCGATACTGATATTGGTATCAGCACTAATTTATTCATACACATAAAAATTCACTGATACTAACAGGAAATACCAGCTGATACCATGTGATGTAACCCTAAATGCATGCTACTGTACTAATAAGCAACTGACTCAAGCTGGCAGTGAAGAAAAGTCTGTTTACACAGTGAAGTGTTGCTGATGCCATGTCAGTTAGACACAAAGTCATACAGTGTATGTCTGGTTTTATAGGACATTGAACTACAGCTAAACAAAAGACTCCAAGAAGACATACCTCAAATGAGCTCCTAGGATTAGCCTCAGAAGATCGATGAGGGGCATAGGATCAAAACTATGAAATGTTCTTTACTTAGAGCTGTATAGAAGCGCTTTTTTAGAACAAAACCTGTTCTCCACATAACTAGCTAAAGCTAATTTAAAATTAGCTAGATTTTAACATGTTAACTCTTAAAGGACATTGCACTCATTTAAACTAACAACTACTTAATTCTAAGTAGGCAGCTCAGTATGGTATCGGCAAGTACTTAAAACCATGTACTTGAACTCAATCTGAGAAAAAATCATACAGATGCATTGCCTCTTAAAACAGAGCTACCACCCTTAAACCATCACCGAAAAAAAGGATTACACATTCCACCTCACATCTGATTAGCTGCTATCAAAGACTTTGGGTTGAGTCAACTCCTCCCTGGCAGTGTGGCCTTCGTTCCCTGTGGGGGGAACAACTGGCTCGGGAGAAGATGAACACACAGTGTCACAGCTGGATGGTGAATCTCCAGGGACAGGACATGCTGTCAGAACAAGCGTATCACAGCTTTTCGGGAGTGAAATTTATCACTGTTATTACACTGTGAAGTCACTGAATGGCAAAACCTCAATTCAAACCCTGGAGGCCACCAAATGCTTTTAGCTCTGTCTGTATAATTGGCAAGTGGTGTATGAGACTCAGTGGGCCCTATTTATCTCTGCTGTGGCAGAGAACAGAGTCAGACAGTGAGATATCATCTTAAGTGAGATTACATAATGAAACCTTAATGAAACATGTTTGGGCCTGCTCCACCACTTTTTTACTGGAACCTGGCTGGATAAACATCAGGATCCAACAAATGCAGGCACAGCAATAATTTTTGTCCATACATGAGGTTTTAATGTGGAATCTGTGTACAGCTTTATAAATGAAGGCTCTTGTAAGAGGGCAGCCAGCACAGCCTCACTCTACCACCAGAAGGAGTCACAGAGGTGCCACCTAAGTAATCAAGGGCGACTGGTACAAACCTGTGCAAAAAGAGAGCTCTTCCTGCAGCTGAGCTTTCTGAAGAACTGAACCTTTCCTTTAAACTGTTTTGGATAAGTGTTCATTACACGTTCATGCATTTTAATGACACCTGGTGGTTAAAAGCATAAACTACAGTTTAAAATCTACTCTATCCTGGGGGGTGTTTTTGGCCGGAAGTTCGAATCTTTGTGTTCTAATGATTTAAAAGTATGTCATCCATTTATAAAACAATAAAGGTAATTCATAACATACACATGAGTCTGGGGTTACATGACAAAAATGACATCATCTTAGAGAGTCAAGATAAGTATAGCTGGTATTTCTATCAAATCTCCTGACAAACTTGTTCTTATTCACATTTAACTTTAACATAGTCTTTCATAGTCACAGAGGGGGCTTCATGTATGAAATCTAAATCAAGATATAAGTGTTTGTTTTGGCCCAAAACCATGGAAAATCTATGTAGTTCACTTGTTTTGAATCAGTTACGAAAGCAGTCATGGTTGTGTGCTGAACGAAACTTTGGTTTTCAAGCCAATTATTGAGCCTGCTTGACTCACAATGTGAATATAAAACAATGACAGTGAATTATTTTGGTTCCTTTCTTAGGTTTACTTCTCAAGTGAGTAACTTAAAATAAAGGCCCTAACTTTGCCAAGTGCTCATCATAAATCTCTCACCTCCCAACCCCAGAAAGTAGGGTTCAGTGCTAGCATGTGGTGGCCACCCTGTACTATACCTGTTTTTCCATTTTCTCCGTTCAATGAATATGCAGTAATGACAGTATGAAGTGTGTCCCACACATTATTATAACCTCTTCCCTGCTGTTTTGCAGTGGAAGCACATGTAAAGCTTAACTTTTGATATTTGTAGTCAAGCTGAATAAACACCATCCCAATGTCATATTATAGCAAGACTTTCATCATCGCCCTCTAGTGGTCTGTTTCTATAATACACCCACTTTATTTATAACACACCCATGTTCATTTCTTTCTTTCTGTCTGACTCTATTTGAGGAAATCAGTTACAGGCCAAACCCGTCTGTCTTATAGGCCTCTGTAGAAGATAAAAGCCCCTGTACTTTTTACATGATGGGGGAATTTCTGAGTTATGAATATAGAGTTTCAAGTTTGAATACTACACTGTAGGGGCACAAGTAATTAAAAGATACACATCTCCATAGCAATAAAAGTGAGTTTAAAAAAGAGGCTAGTTTTCAACATTTGAAGTCAAACAAAATGCAGATATGAAACTAATTCAGGAGTCGAAAGTTAAAAATGATATAGTGGTCAAAAGCAAGGCTGGACTATAAATTCAAACATAGATCAATGAACTGGCCTTGGAGTTTCTCACTGAAATATATGCTGTAATCTGTGGACACCGACGGCCAGAAGTGCATTGAAAGGTGCAGTGAAACAATGAGCCGTCAACAAGCTCGAGACAAAACAGAAAATGACCGTTTAGTGATGAAAAGACAGTGAATTAATAAAAAAAGTTTCACAAAGGTCTTTCACCAAAATTTTCTACATTGATACAATTTCACTCTGGAAAAAAAAACAAAGTTAAATAGAGCTAGAACAAAAAACAGCATAGGCCAGCATGTCTGGTCACCAGTGAAACCAGTATATGGAATTAAAGAATGGCTTTTACAGATATTACAATATTCAAACTGCCTTGTTTCTGCACTCATTCTCCATTTTATCAGCTCCACTTACTATATAGGTGCACTTTGTAGTTCTACAGTTACAGACTGTAGTCCATCTGTTTCTCTGATACTTTGTTAGCCCCCTTTTACCCTGTTCTTCAGTGGTCAGGACCCCCATGGACCCTCACAGAGCAGGTACTATTTGGGTGGTGGGTCATTCTCAGCACTGCAGGGACACTGACGTGGTGGTGGTGTGTTAGTGTGTGTTGCGCTTGTCTGAGTGGATCAGACACAGCAGTGCTGCTGGAGTTTTTAAACACTGTGTCCACTCACTGTCCACTCTATTAGACACTCCTACCTTGTTAGTCCACCTTGTAGATGTAAAGTCAGAGACGATAGCTCATCTGCTGCTGCACAGTTTGTGTTGGTCATCCTCTAGTCCTTCATCAGTGGTCACAGGACACTGCCCACAGGACGCTGCCCATAAGATGCTGCTGGCTGGATGTTTTTGGTTGGTGAGCTATTTTGAGTAAGTTTCACGGTTCATTTCTCTAGAATGAAGCATTTCACATCCAAACTACTCAGAACGACTTTGTTTACATCTTAACTTTTTAATTACGCTGAAATTTTGAAAAATCTGTGAAATTCCCTTATTAAGTATGCAATATGTTTGGAGCATCTGTCTAATTAAAGTATTAAAAAAAAAAAAAAGATATTTGGAAACTAAAGATGCAAATCCATCCACAAAACCTTTTCATTTTAAAATATTGTGGCCTGCATAAATAATAACAATAATGGGTACTTAAGGCACGCATATTAGGGTGAGGGCATTCAGCTAATACAAAAGGGTGGGAGCAATTTCTATAGAGCATAAGACCAATTTCATAAATAAATAACTCCTGGTTGTATAAATGTAAACCAAATAACTAGAATATATTGTAGCGTCAGTGCAGAACAAGAACCAGAGGATGCCATTTTTCTGCTCAAGATAAAAAGCTCTTTTAATCAACACAGCAGAAAAGACCACTGCATAACACTGAACAACATCCACTGTCGATAAACACTAATATAATATTAAATAACCCACAGAGAACACAATCAGACATGGCCAGCATGTAAACACATCTTAAACTAACAAACAACAATATGCAGTAATGACAGTATGAAGTGTGTCCCACACATTATTACAACCTCTTCCCTGCTGTTTTGCAGTGGAAGCACATGTAAAGCTTAACTTTTGATATTTGCAATCAAGCTGAATAAACACCATCCCAATGTCATATTATAGCAAGACTTTCATCATCGCCCTCTAGTGGTCTGTTTCTATAATACACCCACTTTATTTATAACACACCCATGTTCATTTCTTTCTTTCTGTTTGACTGTATTTGAGGAAATCAAAATAATAAATTTAATAACTAACAAACAACAACGTTAACAACAACAACAACAACAACAACAAATGTCCTGGGAAAGAGCATCAAAACATAATCAGTGAAAGACAGTTTAGTTTATTTCTGTTTCTAGTTATGAGGAACAGAGTCATCCAGTTTAAGGGACTTTGTAAAATCTGTGAAACAAATGACCACTTACAATTTATAAATTCAAAATCCACTGAGAAACATGTAAATTAAGAAGTGAATAAGAAACAAATGACTTTTTATTAGTGATAACTAATGTGTACAGTGATAACTGTACAGTAAATTCAGTTTCAACCCCTTTAAATCTCAGGCTTATTACACACTAAGGCTTATTATTCAGTAACTACAGGTACTTCAAGGCAAACTGGTTGAGCTATTCTTAGGTTATAGAAGGGTGTAATAAAACTCATGGCTGTTTAAACAGAATACTAAGCCTCATACAACATCCTGAAACCGTAAGCTTTATATTGCTGTTTTGGTCATAAATCTCTTCCACATTGTATGTTGCTCTGCGGTTGGTTTAGCTTAATAAATGTGTGGGGTCTGATGAGCTGTGATGTCTGTTGGTTAATAATAATGATGCAGAGTACTGAAGCCAGTACTGAATGTGGAAACTGATCAGTGACAATGACTGATGCAGTCCTTTACATGTTTCCCTCAGTAACCATAGTAACCCAATATGCCTAAATAGTTTGAACCCAAAAAAACAGCCCAAGGCAAGATGAAATAAGTTTAAGAGTTTCAGGATGGTTATATAAGGCCCAACTACACTAAAAGTAAACCAAGTGTCATAAAACAAACCAGCATTTAACGTCCAGACACAGAAAATCGTTTAATCTTATACCATATCTTATAATAAACTGTTCGTAGTTTGTAGTTATGGAGATCACAGAGTAGGAATGAAGTGGTTTATTACAACACCATGACTAAAACTTTCTGTCCCAAAAGCAGGAGAATAGATACCAGCACAGTGCAATTCAACAGAACAGCAGCAAACAGAGACATGGAAAATATCACAATATAAAAACTCAAATATAAAACTAACCCTAAAAAAAATCAGATACAGGTTTTTCAAAATCAAAAGCTTATCAAGTCAAGCCCAGCACTGTTACCACCAAGATTCCCAAAATGTGACTGATGTGATGAAGACTGTAATAATTCTGATAAGTGATTAATGGAAAAAGGGAATTATCTGCTGATGTTTGTGTAATTTAAGTGCTCTTTAACTGATCTCTTCATATCCGCCCCATCATCCTCTCTCATTCAGCTGAAACTACAAATATAAAGCCATCATCAGTGTTCTGAAATAAGATGTAGTTCTATATTAGGGTTACATAGACAGAGCTTAGTACGCAGCACAGAAACAGCTTTCTGTAGGTTACAAACCACAGTGTAAAAAAAAGATTAGCTCTTTAATCAGCATGAGGACATCGGTCTTTAGGAGTTATTGGATGATGAGTCTCCATCAGAGGCTGTAAAACATCAAAATATTCAGTTAAACACTAAAATATTCATGATAATGTGGACTAAACAATAACAGTACATTAACAATTAGTGTTTAATACAACATAACTACCACTCAGGTCTACTTACGTGCATTGGGGTTTCCTGAAACAGGTCTGAAGCCTGAAACACAGATAATGGACATAGAATTATTATAGGAAGCATGACTCATAACATGTTTCCATTAAATAATAATTAATAATCAGAGGAAACATTGTGAGCTGAGAGTAGAACTGGCTTAGCATCACAGGATTCTCATTATCAGACGAATTCTAAACTACCTTCTAACTTGTGTGTTTAGGAATTAAATGGGTACAATATATTTAAGCTACAGAAAATGAAAGGACATGTTTTCTCAAATAACATAATGGCTGTAATTTGGTCAAAATTATGAGCCGACGGCGATTACAGTAGAACATCACAGCTGTACTGTTTTTTTGCTATATCACATGCCTATGGGTGTTCTATTGCTTTTACCCAACAGTTCTGTACAATAAAAAATTAAAGCAACCAAGTGCTGAAATTTTAACAATGTGCTTTAATATTGGCAGATCCTTCCCCCAAAAGTAGTGCACTATTGTGTTATGGATAGACATCATGCAGCTCACAGCCATACATCCACTGCACTGTGTGAACCCCTGCAGAGAAACGCACACACACACACACACACACACACACACACACACACACACACACACACACACACACACAGAGTACGGTTACAAAGTCAGGTCAGCATCTATCATAGAGCAGTAAATGTTGAGCACCATCTCCTTTTTCACAATCAAATCATGTCACTGCATTTTATCATTTATTCTATTCGAGCCGATGTATCACTTTATTGTACTTTTATGATTTTCTTATCATATTTTACTTTTTCATGACAGACATGACCCATCTTAATGTGGATGGGCAACTATCTGTCATATTCCCATTCATATTTTATGCTTTATAGACATTATGAATGTATGAATGTTTCATGTATAAACACAAAATTCTGCTCTTTACATGTCAAGATATGCTGTCATGGAGCCATCAAGTGTTGACCCTGAGATAAATGGGTATGTCCACCGTTAGGCTCTGCCTGCCAGCTGGGCAATAACTGAATATATACTCTAAACAACACTCACATGAGTCAAACATCATCAGTTATTAATATCAATCAAATAATATTTCACAACATTTTGAAGCGCAACTTCACGCAACACAAGACTTGAAGTGAGGACTCATTTTATTATGCAGACTCACTATTGAACAGTCATGATTCCTTCAAAATGTATTTGGACCTTAATTCACACAGCATCACAAAATATAGCATTAAAAAATCAAAATGGAGTCGCATAACCTGAGAAAGTGCAGTTCAACACCAACAACTGTAAAACGTCACAAGAGGGGGCTCACTAAAACCCTCTGACCTTGAGATCAAAGACCTTAGAGGACTTTTTTTGTTCACATTCTCCAGCTCTAGGAAGATCTTCTCAAAGGCGTAATTCAGTTTGTTGGTGTATCTTAGTTCCAGGGCACAGATAAGGACCATCAGGTAGGAACAAGCGTGTGCCACATTGGAAATAACAAGGAGGAACTCTGCTGCCTCAGTTGCTATTCCTGCTCTGGCTTTGCTGACCACAAAGATGTTAAAGACAAATTTAGTAGGGGCCTCTTGGACGGCTGCAGCATCTTTGTCATCAAAAACCCATGAAATACACTAGAGAGAATCTCTCCCTCTGCACCGTGTCCAAGAGCTAGGTACTGTATATTTGATCAAAAGGTATGAATATGATCTATAGTAGTTTAGCAAACAAAGCAATGGTCATACATAGAAAAGCAGACTGACTAGAAGGCTCAGTTAGGCTCTGTGTAACAAAGGCAATACTTCACAAAGTGCAAACAAACTGTAGGTTTGTATAGTGAGCTTAACAGGTGAGCTGAATCAGTAAACATGTGAAGTGGAAGTGGAGAGTCAGGTGAGTTAGATCTGGAGTCATGAGATCAGGGGTGTTCTGGGAAATGGAGTCCAAAGGCTGGGAAGTAGTAACAGCAGACCGGCAGGAAGCGTGACATCACCTCTGTTCTGACCAACAGAATTCAAATATTTAGGCTCTCTGAAAACAAATCAAGCAAAAATGGTTCAAACTGCCCCACCACAGTTTGAGAAATTCACATATTTATTTAATACACTATAAGATCAAAAGTATGTTGATACCTCTCTAAATTATTCAACTCGATCAGGTGGATAAAATTAAACATGCAGCCTTGCAGTCTCAACAGACAAACACTGGCAGTAGACACACAGTAGACACAACAGACAAACACTGGCTCGTACTGATGAACTCAGTGACTGTCATAGGAAGTCATAAGATGCCACCTTTGCCACAAGTTTGTGAAACCTCTTCCCTGCTAGATCTGCCCCTGTCAGCTGTAGTTAAGACTGACTGCTGTTCATGAGTGAATGAATGAGGTCACAAGAAAAGCTACAGCTAAAAACATCTTCAACCCTCACCATCCACAGTTTTTCATACGAGTGGGGTTGTGTGGGAGTTCTTATGAATGATAAGAATTCATATGATAAACAATGAGTTCTTGTTTAATAAATTGTGACAAAAAGTGAAGAATAATTCAGGAATATTTAATGGATTTATTAGATCCATGTAGTTTATTTAATAGATTTTTTCGCTGCAAACCAGAGACGAAATACATTTTACATGGCATCCAGCTGTCAGTACATGCCAAGATAACCAATAGCTGCTCGGACTTTACTAAGCTAACAGCAATAAATCACTGAAGAATGAAATGGTATTTAAAACATTACAAAATAATAAAAATAACAACAACAACAACAACAACAACAACCATAATAATAATAATAATAATAATAATAAATATGCATCATTCTGTAGTTGGTGATGTCCATTGAAAATGAATGTTGTTTTTAAAGACTGCTGCAAACAAAGTGTGTTTTTACCCTGTGTTCTCTCTTTTAACAGCACTGTGAACATCATCCCAGTAAAACCTTACCACTCTTTACACACTCATACACCTATATGCTGTACTGGTCCATCGTTTGGTAGCGTGAAACGTATGGATCTACCACTGCAGTGTGCGTTCCTGCTCTCTTGTGTGTCTTATTGAAGAACATACAGGGACCACGTCATCACGTCCTGCAACATTGCCAGAAATACATTAGAGATAACAAACCACTGCAGCGTGGAACACACTCCTCATTGTTCCACTCCACTGACCCTTACCAGAGCTCTCACTGCACATGAGCTTACATGAATCCAGTTGACTGTTTATTATCATTACTATTATTATTATTATGTAATTTATTGTATTATTGCTCTGCTGTTAAGTACAATCCTCAATTCTAAAAGGTTGGGTGGGACAGTATGTGAAGCGCAGACAGAAACAGAAAGCAGCCATTTGTAAATATTTAAGTAAAAATAGAACAAAGGCAAGATAATTGAGGTTTTATCTTATCAGCTTCTTTGTTTTGTGTATTTTACATTCATTCTGAAATTGATGCCTGCAACACATGGATCCAAAACATATTAAACACCACATTCATGAATTTTCCTTTTTATTTATTTATTTACTTAATTTATTTATGATAAACGTGTCATATGTCATACCCAGATTCACCAGCAGAGGTCCTCATCCCCTAACTTTTTACTGTTGTCATGACTACAGCTGAATCACACACACCCGTGCCTCATCAAGATCCCTACATAAGGCCCTCTCAGCGCAGCAAAGCATTGTTCCTGTAACAAATCTGGGCTGTTTCATTTTTAATCTGCTAATCTTGGTCCCCTGGTTTGTTATTGTTTGTTTTGGCCTTTTTGACTCTGGTTTTCCAACTTTGTTTTGGCTTTTTTTCACCTCTTTCCTGAGTTTGACTTTTTGGCTTTTTACAACTTTTTTTCTGTTGTTTGGGCCATTTATTTTGGTCAGTTTATCATGAAATTAACACACAATGTTAAAATTGAATTGTGGTCTAATGAGTCAACTTTTCAGATTTTTTGTGGACATAATGGACATCCTGTTCAGGCCAAATAAGGAAAGGACCATGAAGGTCTGTGATGGTATGGGGGGTTATTAGTGGGTAGCCTGCACATTATTAAGCACAAAAAATGACATCAAAGGCCCCATGTGGTTGCACAGTTTTTTGTATAACACAGTAAAAAACATGCTCCTGTTTTTGTTACGTATTGCAGGCATCAAATTTGGAATGAGCATATTTTAAAAAAACAACAAAGAAGTTTATAAGGTAAAACATCAAATATTGTGTTTTGTCCTTTTTTAATACAGTTCAAACAGAACTTACTAATCACTGCTTCTGTTTTTATTAATATTTGTATTTGGAATTGAGGTTTGTATTTTCAGCTTTAAACTCTGCTGTGCTTTAATAACATTGTACCTGCCAGTGAAACTACTTTGAACTGAATGAAGAAAACATGCTAAGAAAGAGCTGCAAATAAGACCTAAAGAAAAAAAAACTTACAGAACAGATTATATAGACCCATTAAATATGTTTAGTATTTCTAAACAAATGTGAAGAATTACCTCATTCTCCTGTTGTGCTTTGGAGCATTTTTGTGTGTCTGTGGTAAAAACAGTTACAAATTCAGTTGTATTCTTTGTATATTGTAATATTATTGTATGTCATAAAAAACTTACACACTATTTATTTACGACATTAGCATTCATTTACTTAGCACTAATTAACTTGTCATTAGTTAACATTAAAACATAAATGGCAGTATTTTACCATCTGAGGATCCTTTTGTTTTCTTCAGTATGATAAAGAGCAGGATTCCCAGTGTAATGAGTAGAACCACAATCATAACACTGAACACAATCAGCTCAGTGAGTGCAAAACGTCAATAAGAAAGACAGAGGATTCAAACAACACAGTAAAAAAGTCACCAACAGTAGTTGGCGTTCATATCACTAATGAAAGAGCTGAAGAGGAGTTTGTGAGTTCAGACCATGCCTTCAACATGGTGGTGGTAGTATGAGGAAGGACTGATTGAGAGAGGGGGGGACTCTGAGAACTTGGGCTGAAGTTCAGGGCAGCTTCTGCCTGTAGCTAGAAGGCCAGACCTCCTCATAGCTGTCGCAGGACTGATGTAGGACTGAGGAACAGGGAGGAGATGGGGTGGCAGTGGGGATTGTAAACACTTCATCACGGGAGCGGAATGTGAGGATGTGAGTTTATAGGGAATTAGATTGGAAGAAGGAGGGGGTTCAGCTATGCTCCTCCCCTCAAACTTTAGTTAAAACATAACTCAAATATTTCTTTAATATGGCAAAATATTTTCTGGAACATATTAATTTCTCTACACTGTAAATTTACAGAGGAAACACTACAGTAGTCTAATGTATTCCTTAATCACAGCAAACAGATTGCTGTAAAAATGGGAGATACAGGTTAAATTTCTTGCCAAAGTATTTAAAAATGTCAGATTTTATAATAATTGGCTGTAATTTGGGAGTATTTTGGGAAAGTGAGCGTTAATTTGTGCAGTCAGGAGGAGCTGTGTCTGAATAATGTAGCACTACTGAAGTGGAGCTTCCCAGCATGCTGTACAAATAAAAACTTGTATCTTCATTTTTTGAGATTTTTATTTTCCACATCTTTCCAGCTGTGCTTTACGTTGTGTGAAAATTCCTTGAATAATTGACCATATAAATGCCCCAAAATTGCTTGGAATAAAATTTCTTTGCTTTAACTTACATTGAAATAACAAACATTTTTGGTCTTTGCTGTAAATTTAGCATATTGAAGATTTTTCTTGGGACAGCGATCATATACACAACTAATAAAACTGTATTTATCATCACAAATAACATTTTTATAACTATCTTCATCAAAATATCAAAATAATTCATCTGAATACTGTAATGAGCATGATTGTAGCAGGTCAACAAGCAGTATTACTTTGTGTCAGTGAAACAAGAGCGGCACCATCTTTTCACTTTGAATATGATTTGTGTTATTTAGGTGGTTTATGTGCCTTTACTGTTGGTGTGTTAACCCCTTAATAACATTATTTACTTTCTCTTAAAACTGAGAGTATCCTGTCTTTGTCCTCAGCCTGGATCTGTTCTAGATCAGCTCCCCAGCTCAGCTACTCCTCCTTTAGGTAAAGAGTTCCTGCTGTGATACTGCAGTAGCTTTAGTTCCCCTACATTTACTCAGTTTTGTTCCTTACTGTGCAGTTATAGAGATGTACTCAAAAACAGGCGTATAGTCATAGTTTTTTAGCCATTCGCTCATGAACATTCAAATAAAAGCCACCACCACTGATGAAAAGGCTATATGTATTGAAATAGCGAACTTTGACTTCATTACAGCAACTAAAAACAACACTTTTGTGTATAAACAGTGACATCAGACATGATTCAGTCATTTGTTATATACTGATCAGGCATAACATTCTGACCACCTCCTTGTTTCTACGCTCATTGTCCATTTTATCAGCTCCTCTTACTATATAGGTGCACTTTGTAGTTCTACAGTTACAGACTGTAGTCCATCTGTTTCTCTGCATACTTTGTTAGCCCCCTTTTACCCTGTTCTTCAGTGGTCAGGACCCCCATGGACCCTCACAGAGCAGGTACTATTTGGGTGGTGTATCATTCTCAGCACTGCAGTAACACTGATGTGGTGGAGTTTTTAAACACCTCAGTGTCGCTGCTGGACTGAGAATAGTCCACCAACCAAAAATATCCAGCCAACAGCGTCCTGTGGGCAGCGTCCTGTGACCACTGATGAAGGACTAGAGGATGACCAACACAAACTGTGCAGCAGCAGATGAGCTGTCGTCTCTGACTTTACATCTACAGGGTGGACTGACGAGGTAGGAGTGTCTAATAGAGTGGACAGTGAGTGGACACAGTGTTTAAAAACTCCAGCAGCTCTGCTGTGCCTGATCCACTCATACCAGCACAACACACACTAACACACCACCACCACGTCAGTGTCACTGCAGTGCTGAGAATGATCCACCACCCAAATAGTACCTGCTCTGTGAGGGTCCATGGGGGTCCTGACCACTGAAGAACATGGTAAAAGGGGGCTAACAAAGTATCAGAGAAACAGATGGACTACAGTCTGTAACTGTAGAACTACAAAGTGCACCTATATAGTAAGTGGAGCTGATAAAATGGAGAATGAGTGTAGAAACAAAGAGGTGGTCATACTGTTATGCCAGATCGGTGTTTTTTGATTCCATAATATTCTGAGCTTTTAGGAATCTAAGGTTAGTGCTGGTGAAGACAGCTGGGTCTGGAGTGTTACACAATAGCAATAATATTCTAAGCTTTTAGGAAACTAATGTTGATGTTAGTATTGTGCAATTGCAAGTACACAACACGACTCAAACTCTTATACATGTGATCTCTGTTCTCAGGTTCTTGTGAGAACACAAAGTCAGTTCCTCTCTTTCTTGGTATTGGGAGCATAAACAGGAAGTTAAAAGACAAAAAGCAAATGAGTTTCTCTTGGATGGGTGGGGCTGAATAAGGTGAGTAAGTAGAATAGTGTGTGCTGGAGGAGTCCTTTGTAAAATAACAGATACATGAATACCTTATTTGCTCATTTGGTGGTTTTAATTTGTCTCTGAAAAGTAGGTGCAGCTGGGAAATTGCTTTTATTGTATTTTTGCAGTAGTTCCCAACCTGGTTCTGCATATATTTATATATACTTTACAGGGATTTATCTGCTCTAATAGAACAACTTAATACTAGTAAGAAAAGCTCATAAGAGCAGGATAAACACTTAAATTTGAGAACTGGAGCCTCTAAGATTTGGATTGAAAACTACTGTATTTTTTATTTGCACTTTATCAACTGTGTATAGTTTTGTCTTGTATGAATGCATTTAGATTCTCTATGTACATGTTTATCACTCTGCTTTCTACTACTATTGCACTTTTTTGTAGGCCATTCTCAATTTGAACATCTTCTAAATGATTAAACCTGAATGTAGATGTGTTTGTGATCATATCCATAGATTTTTAATGGTCAAATGTTTTATTAAGTAGTTGACTGCTTGACATGTTTGTATTTAACCATGTCAGGTACAAAGTACATTTATAGATCTTTTTAATTGAAACGTTTGAATTTACCTTTCACTTGCAAGTATGTTGCGTTGCTGAAGATCATGTGGTTGTGCTGCAGGAAGCTGCAGTAATAGAGTCCTGAATCAGAGTGATTTGCTGCAGTTATTATGAGAGAGGAGTTCTTGCCTTCCACTGTCATCACCATTTGCTCATATTCATTAAAGAAATAGCAAGAAACTGATGGATCAAATAATTTATATTGTTTGCATGCAACAAGAACTGGCACAGAACCGTTTGTTTGCTTGAACCAGAACAGGTAACCTGAGCTAGTCAGACTGTGCTGACAGCAGAGAGTGACATCATCACCAGGATCTGCTTCTACAGTTAAACCAGCCTGAGAGCTCAAACACACTGACAGAACACCTGAAACACAGAACACAGACCTGACTTATAACACGTTACAGATGTCTGTAATGCATTAGCAGTAAATGTACAACACTTTTCTGAGACTTGCTAGAAGTATCTGAACATTTTGAGTTTTCTATTTGTTTTGGGAAAGACAAACAATGGAACAAAAACTAATGATATATAGTGTTAAGCCTCATGCCTGAGACATTTTATGATGTTTTATGACAGTTCGGAGATAAAGTTTTGGCCTAAAACATATTTTTTTAAATCCATTCATAGTGCAGAGGTACATGCAGGCCTTTTAAGATTTTCCACTGTTTTCTCATCATCAACATTCCATATAAACTCAGAAGACTCGTGTAGGTTCACTGGTGGTTTTGGATAGTAAATAAAATGTCTATATTTGTGTTGTAGTCATGGCGACCCCTGGTTCCTATCACCACCACTGTAAAGACATCTGAACCATTTCACACCAAACCACTCTGAATGACTCTGTTTGCATCTCAAACACTGCATACAATTTTAACAATTGGTGAAATTTCACTTCACCTATGTAGAAATCAGAGACTTTCACTGTGAACTTTTATTGTAATACCAGCAATGTGACCTATATCTAATAAGACACTCACTATTATTGTAGTTCTATTCAACTTTTGTGAATTAGTACTGCAGAAAATGATAGTAATACTTACCCATGACGCAGAGTAACAGAAGCTTAATTTGAAACCCAACCATTGCTGCATTTGTCCAGAAGTAAAAAGGAAATGTCTCTATATAGAATCTATATTCATCTATATCTGCTATATCTCTGTGTAGGAGGCGTGGTGTGTATAGCGAGTGTTTATGTTCTGGTGCTGTCCTCCTCCTTACAGCTCCAGATCTTTAACATTAGCAGCTAGCTCATTTAGTTAACTGCCTAAGAAGAACTAAATACATCTGAAGTTAGAAGCAGTGATGGTGTGGTCTGATGGCTATTATATATACAAATACTAAAAGTGGATTACACAACCATTTCTGCACTACACTGAAACCTGAGGACTGCACAAATGTTGGTCTACATTCTGTTAGTCCTAGTTAATATCTGTTTTTATTCACTACCATTGTTCTCCCCCCATGTTGATCACTGTTTAGGCCGTGATATCCATAAAAATGCACATTTTGTGGGTCATTTGCTGTCTTGCTATATCTTTAAAGCTGGATATTACAGCAAGTTGACTACAGCAATTCATTTCCTGCATAATTGACATGACTGACTGAAGCCCATCCCCAAACCACATCCTATTGTTTGTTGATATGTCGGAGTACACTCCATCAAAGGTTCTGGTGAACTTTAGCAGACAACAGAGGGATTTTAAGATCACCTTTTATGACAGCAGGTTGCATGTGGGCTGCACAGCACCATGATGGCAGCACACTGTATCCCTGCTATAAGGAACTATGTTGACCTGGTTACATAAAGACAATACCAGGTTGACAAACAATGCATTTTCCAAATGTACTATGGCATGCTACAGGTTATAGCCTATTGCTAACAGCAGTGTAGTCATCAGCCTACAAAATCTAACACTCTGTAGTGGTAAAACAGAACAATAGCAAGATCAGGCAGAACACAAGATCATATAAACCCAATAACCAATGCAACACTTCCTCATAAAGCACGCATCCGCTCTTCACAAGCACACCAGTTAAAACATCATTTCCAGTCAGACAGCTGAAATATACACAATAAAGATGAAGAAAACACCAGCAGCCTCTGCACAAGCCCATAAGACTCATGGGATGATCTGGGCCTGGTTGTATTTAATACATTATCAAGTTTGTATTTTTATTTCACTTTATTTGCACGTTTAAAATCTGCCATGCACTGTTAAAGACCAACTACTAGCTGTGCGCTTATGAGGCGCAGGGTTTAAAAGGGGCAGTAAAACAGTAACCATCAACAAGCTCCAGACATTCATTCATTCATTCATTCATTTATAATTTATTAATAATATTTAACGAACACTTTTCATTCGCAAAGCAGCTTCACAAACAGCACAACTGAGAAATTTAAGACTGCATGAAAAGCTAAATAAACTGAAATAAAAATAATATTTAAAAAGTCTATTAAAAAGAGAAGGTACGGATTAAAAATAATTACTCATGTTGGGTTTAGTGTCACTACAATTCTGACTGTCAGATGCTGATGAGATTTTAGAGACAGGTGTCGATTTTCTCCACTAAGCAGAACCACCACAGTCTTTATAGATAATTTGGCATCTACTGACACTCACTCTCCAAACAAGGCTGGTCTGAATCTCTGGTAAAGGAAAGAGGTGTTAAACAGCAGTCGGGTGGTTTTGACAAAGCGAGCAGGTGAGAATAGCTGAGGGTCAGTTTTGTGGTTGGAAAATATTCAGACCACAATGTGCTGGTATAAATACACATGCACCTTTGTTTACAGGCTCATATTTGCACTCATGTCTTCTGCATAGAATATAACTGTGACCACTAAAAGTACGAGCTAAAATTTCTGCTCTAAATAACTTTCCTACTAGTGCACCAAAAACAAGAAGGGTCACTAATGACCTTCTCACTGCTCACTCCTGCTCCTGCTCCTGCTCCTGCTCCTATTCCTGGATTCAAGCTTTTGACAGTTTTTGTGTCCCATGACAAACTTCACAAACTTCTCACACATATTTTTGGCACTGAGGAGGTGATAGAAGAGAGATGATGGCTCAGATAAAGGAGTCCAACTGTGGTATGACAGGAAAGCATACAGGAGTCTATATGATCACATATCTGATCATATATGAAGGCTAAATGAATGTACTTTAGTATATTTCAGGTAAATTGAACTGAAATAAAATAAACCTGTTCAAGTGATTTGATACCATATATAATCTATACTGCTGTCACCCACTACACACAACTGATATAATAAAAATTACATAAATATAAACATATAAAGGGCTAATTAACTGAAGGCCTTTATGTGAAGAATACTGTAACAGTACTGTCCATTTGTAACAGTTTTGGATATAAGGAGCTGAAAGTTAATGGGAAAACACATTTTTATTTCTCTAATAAAGGTGGTATTAATCATAATATAGCATTAATATTTCTTGCATGTATAAATGTCACTACCAACAACAAATACAATGGCCATCTCCTGCTGAGCCTCTATGGGAGCAGTGGTGGATAATTAAAAGAAAAGTGAATAAAAGTACTGAAAAAACAGCAATATGTTCAAAGAATGACTCCTCACACTGCCTACCATTTTAGATCTCTATGGATAAGAGCTCTGCGAAAATATCTAAACATAACGTTCACAGACTCATATGTAGATATATTTAGTTCACAGTCCATCCTCAAGCTCTGTTAATAGCCTGAACATTATTAAAAGTAGCTATCGATGCTGCTGCTTCAGTGCTGGATGGGTGAGCAGTACAGATTTAAATCAGAGAAAATCTGAATGTGAGAGTGTTGATCAGATTAGTATTAATGGCTTTTGCACAGTAAACATTAGTTTTAGTGGTATTACAGCTCAGACGCTGAAGAAATTCAGCACTGTCATGTCAGTTATCACTGGAACTCACATTAATCTGTAAAGCACAGATAACGTATTCAGATTCTCCTAGTCATTAAATTCACAGGGTGGTCATACAATGACGTCATATGAGACAGACAAATAATGCATTTGTAACAAAACCCTTCTGAACACATTCAGGTCTATTTATTTCAGGATATTACAGACTTCTCTTAGGTGAAAATACATGCCAGTGACTTCCAAATCAATGAGTTTTGTGTGTTTTCTTTTTGGGATATATGTGTTTTACACCCATTTGACTGCAAATGTCAGCAGCATGTGCTGTTTTGAAGAAATTCAATTATTAGTGCAGTTGGTACAGTCATTGCTTCACATCACGCCTCCCTCCAGCTCTGTAGTCAGTAACACTCCAGACACTGATTCCCTCCTGGGTCTGTTTTAAAGAAAATTCTTAAGTCTGAGATCTGCTTTGTTGTCATGGCAACTTCAGTTAAGACTGAAGTTAGGACAGAAGCCATTACAGAATAACAGATACAAGTCTATAATCTTATTTCCAGATAAGAAAACGGTACAGAAACATCCTATGTCGCCAAAATATCCTAAACATTTTCTTAACTTTAAGATAAAAACCAGAGCATCTTTACTTCTGTTTTAACCGTCTGTTTCTGTTGTTTTATGCAGTGATACTCAGCACAGTTCAGTACAAGTAACATAATGACATTTATCTACACTGAAAACGGTGCTTTGACTTTTTTTCTAACAGCGTTTAAAAGCTGCAGACGCTGCTGAACGTGTGTCTGTTTATTAGGAGGAGTAACGTTAGCGTGCTCGGCTAAAGCGTTTGGGAAATGAAACTGAAACTGGAGAGCAGCGACGCTCTGAAATACAGCAGGGGGCGCTGCCATAATATTATTAACTTTCAGTTCATCGTGCTTTAGTTTTATTTGACCTTCTTTACACCAATAACTGCAGCTAACGTTAGCTGTCTGGCTAACTAGCTTGATTACATGTTTATATTTCAGCTGTGCACGTATGGTCGGTTGCTAGGTAACAGACACGACAGTTGATTGTTGACTTTGATCGAGGACATTAAGATTTTCCTAACTTGAGATAAGAAAAGGTGCTGTAAGATAAGATTCTTAAATTAAGGTAATTAGTGAAAACTCTTATCTTGACCAGTCAGATGTTAAGCTAAGATAAAAAGATAAGAATTTTCTGTAATATGGCCCCTGGACTCCAACTCCCAGAATCCTCTGGGAGAGCATGTGACGCTCATCCTACCCACATAAGAGTTCACTTCAGATTTGGTCTAAAATAATTTGAGGCTGGTTTAAAGTTTTGTGTTTGTTGAACAGTGAATAGGACGTTCATAGACAGAACATTCCGGTACCTGGATTCACTTGATCAGTGTTATTCCACGGAGGTATGAGGGCTGGATGACAGTAGTAAGCCAGAACTGGGCCATCACTCATTTGCTATCTGGGTAACAAATGTTGAACATTCTGGATCATCATTTCCTGGTGGAGCGCTGCCGTCTGTTTATGTCACTTCAAAACGTGAACAGAAAGTTTTTCCGGCTCCACGTTCGTGTTCGTGGCGTATGAAATGAGGCATGTATAAATGTAGGCCTGTTACCTACATGAGAATGTGCAGAACCTGCATGAAGGAAGTATTAATGTCAAAGTATTTACAACTTCATCCATCAACAATGTTTCCCTCACAGCACACTGTAAAACCAAAATATCGCTGCTGTTGAAACAAAACCTCGTATCTCCTTTTTTGCCTTTTTTCAGTTTTTGACGTAATTTGAAAATACCTGTTGCGCTTTACATTATGCGTACATTTTATGATTAATGGACCAAAAAAAAGGCCCAGAATTACTTGGAAAGATGTCTGGTTCTATTGGCTTACATTAAAACTAAAGTATGTTTTTACCTTCTCCTTTAAAGTTATCATTTTGGAGATATGTGGTTTTGTTCCAACAACAGTGAGATATCAATATGAATAATTATATAGGATATACTTTACAAGACGTCCTCCTACTATTATATTGTCTTTGGTGATAGTGATGTTCCATGAAATGTTCCAGAAATAAGAGCACTGACCCTACTAGTATTAGCTTTTCATGCAACCTGACCACTTCATTCACTTCCAAATAGTAGCCAGAGATAAAACAATTTTAATAAAAGAGAAAAAGGTTTAAAAAAAAGCCCTAATTTATAAATATATGTAATGTTTAAATTAAATGTGTTAAAAAATACAAATAT